ACCTTTTGTGTATTGGACTTGTCATTTGGTGCCATAAAAAAACAACTGTCTTTTCTTTCCATTTGCTACTATTACATTACCAAGGGTTGGCACCCTATTACTCAGGATCTGTAACCAGAATCTACTTTGCTGACAGCATTAATAGCCCAATGTGTGCTTCTGTAGACTGTTCAGCCAGTACCAGCCTCATATTAATAACACCGTTAGGCTATACACAGTCTGTATTTGGACTCTACAAAGATGCAAAGTCTGTTGTTCCTCCACACTTTGTGCCATGTACACAAATGGGACCCATTGTGCTCTATATGCCAGCAGTTATTTTTGCATCCAGTCTGGCATTGGGGAGTTTGATTTAGAAGCCCGCTAATGCTTAAATAAACAAGAAAGTTAATTAGCAAACAAATAAATAGCCCAAAATGCATCTGCTCTAAATAGAATCTGTAAAATATGTTCTCTTTAACAAAATACCTTATTGAGTTTCTTTATTGAACTCTGCGTCATTTCAAGTGTCCACTTGTGACTTCAGCAGTTCTAAAAGCCTTTATCCTCTTGTCGTTTACATCAGCAGAGTAACATTTCACATACGTTAATTAAAAAGAAAAGAAACATCCACATGATGGATACTTACTACAGCTCTAATGGCATCACAATGCCTAATAAAAGCAAAGTAGATGACTGCCTTGTTTGTGCCCTCTTGCTGGGCTTTTGGAACATATCTGAGACGCACATTAAAGCAACTCCTATATCATACAAATAAGTTGGTCTGGTATTTAAAACCAAACTCCGGACTACCCTTCGGTCTTACACAGTTGCACCGACTCCTCTCCTGTACTGAAATAGCTTACTCTGATTTTACTGCACACTGTAAGCTTCTCACTGTGTGTATTAGAAGCTGGAGTAAGTCTGATAGAACCAGTGGCGGACCTAAGGAACAAAGGGACCTGGTGCAAGATTTTTTTTGAGCCCCCCAAAACACAAACCCCCCAATCCACACCCCCTATAAAGCTACTGTGAGGTCCCCAGGACCGAATCTTTCTTAGAAAAATGCCTCCTCCAATGATTGCGGACCTACCACATAAGGCTGGGGTGGGTGGCGGGGTGCGCAGTTCGATCTGGCCCCGGCCCCTCTCCCCTGGGCTCGTGTGGTAGTTACCCTGCTGGCGGCGCCCATTAATGATACAGCGCCTGGGGCACATCCCCCCTCCCCTAGTTTCGCCCATGGGTATTGGTGCATCCATATTTACAGCAATGCAGAATCGCACAGGCTATAGAGGACTACACATCCCAGCAATATTTTATACAACAATAGCATTCCTGAATAAAGTATTGCTGGTATTAGTAGTCCTCTATAGAGGGTGCCATTCTGCTTTGCTGCAATGCAGAATGATACCTGCTATAGAGCACTATAAATACCAGCAGTATTTTATACAACATGTCCATCAGTTGGGCTACAAATAATAATCAATTTATTGAGTTATTTACCTTCACCTCTTCCTTTACCTTTACCTTCACCTCGGGAGTGTCGGATCAGTATCCGGCAGCCGGCGCCCTCCCCATCTCTGCACCAAGAGTGTCGGATAATTAGATCGTTATCCGGCAGCCGGTGGGCTCCCACCATCTCTGCGCCGGGAGTGTCGGATGATCTGACACTCCCGGCGCAGACATGGGGGGGCCCGCCGGCCGCCGTGTACTGATCCAATGGTACCCGGTGGCCGGCGGGCCCCACCATCTCTGCACCTGAACTCAGGCACCGTCGGTAGGTCCGCCCCTGGATAGAACCTTCATCATTTCCTGGTTGGAGGATGTCCATCATCATCTAGCTTGACCCCAGCAGCCTCCCGGTACCTGCCCCTTCCATTTATTGGATTTCTATTCATTCATTCATGCTTAAAATGGGGGTGTTTCTTGGGGCTGTCTGCTTGCAAATGTAGCCTGTCTAGGAATGCCCAATTGTTTAAAACTGACATCCACTCATCAAGGCATTATAGTATTTGCACAACTCCTCCCAAGAGCCAACCCACTCCTTGCATTAGTGCTGAGGGTTCTTGGGAAAAGTAATGAGGCAGGGTCCTGTAATATTTTTAGCAATCTACAGCACACTGGCACCCCTTCCCACTAGCTATGACCTGCCAGCATTCCATAGAGACGCACAGACGCCAATAAATATAGAGGAGGCTTTCCTGCCAAGAGTTCTTGTCTATGAACCCCATGACTACATCTCGCCTCCATCGTTGTAAAAGACCAACATGTTACAATGAAGTGATGTTAGAAAATGCAAGATGGCAATTATGGAAAACAGGTAAAATGTAGAGCTCTTGTACATGACTGGGGATATTGTGCTCATTATTTGTTTTACATTTTACTTATTTTCCAACTGTGCTGTAAAGCGCAGAAACAGCACATAGCAGTTTGCCTTAAAAATTAGACTTTATGGAAGCGGATTTACTAAAGAAGTAGGAAATCTTCAAACATTAAATCATGTGACTATGAATGTCAACTGTAAATTCCTGTTAATTTATTTCATCCGCACATGACTGGGCATTTTTTATTGTGCAAAAATTCACAGCTACTTTAGTAGCTTTTGATGATTGTACTGGAAACCAGCGCACATTACACAAAAGGAGGCCTCTGGTCATTTTAGCTGTTTGTAACATGTCACCTCAAGATTCCAATTATCCACAAGTGAACCTAAGATAGCTCTACATATCCTAAAAACCTGACATTAAACTTTCTATAATGGTGAGCAATGGGTGTCCAGTCACAGTCCCAAACCTTGCATCCTCATCAGCATTGCTTCATTCATAATATTTATAAAGAGCCTCACTGGTCATTTCAAAGGAGCAGTATATTATACTTCTGCTAATAAAAGCTTCATACAAGCCTTGTTGTATAATTAATCCTAGAAGTACTGGTACCCCGTGTATCCCCCAGTGCAGAGTTATGAGTCTAATAAGCAGGCTGATATTGCAGACTCTTTGATGTGGCAGGAGATGGAACAGTCTTGCATAGAGTATGTTATTTTTGTAGCAATTCTCATAATATGAGCCTCTGGCATTACTACTGACAAATACTCTGGTTAGCAGTGTACAGCTCTGTTTATACTGCAGGGGTATGAATGGTGATGCAGCATTATTACGTCAACCGTAGAACATGCAGCTAAATTTAAAATAATCCAAGAATGAAAAAACATTTCTGAAACTTCCAGAATCCCAGAAGCTCATAGTCACTCATAGATCATAGAGATCCTAATCATGTTGATGAGGGTTAAAAGTCAAACAGAGCAAATAATCCAAAATCTGCTCCATCTGCTGTTTGATTGGTTTATGAGATTCTGTTCAATTAGTTCAGAGGAGTTTCTTTTATGTTTTTGTATAATAAAATCAAAATAAATGCCCTACTGCCCTCAAAGGCTTTCCTGCCACAAATTACTTTTGTGTTGGTATCCCAAGAGTAAGAGACTTGGCAAGCAAGATTGCCCCTGTGTTATGCCCGTCACCTTTTTGCTCGTGTTTTAGGAACTGTCTACCTAAGAAAAGCACAAGCCTTTCTATCAAAACACTATCATCTAAATGATTCTGGGCTTATCATTACCTTTGCTAACCAGGAGAGGGATTTATGTTATTATAGATGCCTCCTGTAGAAGAAGGCAAATGGTGAAATGGTAAAGGACCTCTGGACCCCTAACATGTTCACTACAACACAAAGTAAAATTAAAGTGACACTAAACTCAGGAGTACAATGCATTCAAGTACCTTAACTATTAAAAAAAATATATCTTATCTGTGCATCAATGGGCTGTAGATCCTCAAATCATCTCTGAATTGGTGCTGACACTGTCCATTCTTCTGGAGGGTGGCTACTTTTGTTCCCCATGGTCCCTGTGTGTGTTGTAAAGTAGTCACCGCTCCAAGCTCACTCCCGTGATGGACTACAAATAAGTAAACTAAACGTGAGATTGTAGTCCATCAAGGAGCGAGCTTGGAGCAGTGGATACTTTACAACACACACGGGGACCACGGGGAACAAAAGTAGCCCCCCTCCAGAAGGAAGGACAGTGTAAAACATTTTTTAAAGGGTTACTTCAACTTTCTTAAAAAATAGCTTATGCAGTCAAGATGCCACAGTAAGTACCAATAAACTAAGTAGCTTTTAAAAACCTTCAGTAATTTATCCTCCATACCTGAAGGCCATTTTCTTTCCCTCCAAAGCCTGCCGCAAAAAAAAAACAATATTCTTTATAGTTCCATCCTGTCCTGTTTCCAGATTGAGTCAGCTGTGTGATGCTCACCCCCAACATCATAGGAGCGAGCGCCATCTTTGTTCAGGACTGTGCAGTGCACTCTCTCTACTGTTGCCATGGCTGAGCATTGGTGGGGGCGAAAATGGCCGGCAGGTATGGAATACTGAAGATTTCTAAAAACTGTTTAGCTCACTACTGGGGCTACTTGACTACATAGGCTATTTGTTTAAAAGGTGAACTAACCCTTTAAATCCACTGGGGTCTTCTTTGTCTCATGCTGGTTTGTTCTGGGAAATAAAAACACATACCCTGTTAAACATGTCTTTAACCTGCAGCTTTCAGGCAAATAATAAATTAATGAATCATGGTTTGTCCTATGCATTCATAGGGCAATTACTTTATTTACTAAGAAAAATGTATAGCTAGACTTGCTCGATGTGGTCCCATACAGCGACTGTGATTACCCTATGAGAGGGTGGAAAAGACTCTAAATCACTCACTCCAATATGGTAAATAGTGAATTATAAGAATGTTTACTCATTGTTTGACCACAGGGTAAAGTTTTTGGTCTGCATTGGTTTCTTTTGTCCAAGAAGAGGACCCAGCGTCGCACCAACAAATAGATTACTCAGCTAGTTTATTTTGCTGATATCTGGCAATCCACCAACTCCTTAGCATATGCAAATGGTTTCACTCATTTCTAGTCTGTCAAAAGAGAAAAATCACCAACAGGTGGCTGCTTTGTGGTGCTAAGGTTTACCTCTCCCCGGTGTATCCCGCGGCACACTGACATCTTCCAGAGACAGGGTCACACTGTCCACCATTGTGACACTGACACTCCTGGCTGCAGTTTACCCCATATCTTCCTGAGGTACACGGCTGGGCACAGACAGAACCCTGTACAGAAAGAAAAGAAAATAAGGACTGGTGTTCACAGAACAGCAATACATCTAAAGCTCTGCATCTATAAGCAAGTGCTAACATGCCTAGATGCAAATAGAAAGGTTTCAAAAGTTGCAGTTCGATATTATTAATCTGCCCTCATTCTGAGCCCCCATGTACACTTGAGCATGTGTGTTTTCAGGAGATTTTTGTGTGTTTTTGTGCACACTTTGCTGTTTGTGATATGTCACAAGAAGGCACTTTTCAGCCTTTTTGTTTTAGTCAATGAAAAGCTAGTTAATAAAGGTTGGTAGGCTGCTGTCAGGGAAGTTCAGTCGGTATCCATAGAGCAGTTTCTGCACGAACCCTGCACAAGCCACTGTGCAAACATATGTGTGAAGAAAGCGCTACAGTGCCAACATTGCACATCCGCATGAATGGAGGTGCACGCGTGTGCAAGTCACGGCGCACACACGCCGGCGTGCACATGCACATTCCTGCCAGTGGCGCCAAGCGGGCTATTTAAGGATGCCTGTTGCAATTGCACATTACTGAGAGATCTTCAGCTTTTCCTATGCTATAGCCTGCCTCATTACCTAAATCCGGCTGGGAAGTTGGCTTCCCAGCCAATCAGTGTCAAGCCGAGCAAACAAATCTGACAAAATTGCGACACGACCCCTACCCTGCAGACAAATCATACCCCTCACATAGATCCTTAGCAGCAGTCATTACCGTACCAGTCTCTCGGCCAGCTGGGCAGACACCACTCTTCAAGCTCTCCCGGATCTGCCCACGTCTCCTGTGTCCACAGCGCCCATTTGATCGGCCCTCAGCCTGCTACTGCGCATGCACAGGATTTCTGAATGAGAGCACTGGGCAGTCTGCACATCCGCAGTAGCAGGCTGAGGGCCAATCACGTGAGCGATGTACACACAGGACGTGGGCAGATCCGGGAAGCTTGGAGAGCGGTGTCTGCCCAGCTGGCCGAGGGACTGGTACAGTAATGACTGCTGCTAAGGATCTATGTGAGGGGAATGAGGTGTCTGCAGGGTGGGGGTCGTGTCACCATATTGTCAGATCTGTTTGGCCGGCCTCGATGCCGATTGGCTCGGAAACCGGCTTCCCGGGCCAAACAGCATCGAGCCGGCCAAACGGAATGGAGTTGGCTTCTCGGGCAATCAAGAAGCCGGGCGGTGGGTAATGACACGCCGTCTGGCTTCCTGATTGCCCGGGAAAATGGCTCTATACTACTGGAAGTAGGGGTATCAGCGAGTACCGAAATACAAACATCGGTATTTGTGCTCCATACCGAAAAACCGGTATCGGTGCATCTCTAATCTCAACAAAAATGAAACACCTATTACAGGGGATGCTTGACTTGCAGTGAGCCAATCACACAAGCAGAAGCGACATTTTTGGGGTTATTCTGTAAACCAATGGTATCCAGAACACCTTCAGGTTGCTATAATGGAAGGAAGCTATGTTTAAATTTTTTGACAGTTTTAGCAAATTGTGATTGAAGCTCATGTCCAACCTCCCACATGTGAGTGTAATATTGTCTGTACTCCTCATCCCATCACACCTAAGTTATTGCGCTAGGCACTTCGGTTTCCTTCCTTTTGGTTTCCTTAGCACACACATCGAACACCCCGGTCTGTACTTACCATGAGCTGTACACCAGCGAACGCCACCCCGATCCCCTCGGAGAGCGCTAAAAACATTACTTTCTCTTTTTAACTTTTTTAGCAAATTACACTGGCTTTAAAGTGAACAGCAAATGTCATTTTAACAACATTCATTTACAAAATTACTTAAACAATTTGTTGTGTCATATATGTAAAAAAGTACAGGTTTTACTTATAAAGGAGTTATTAAATAGCCTCCTTACACTTTTAGAGGGTAGGCAGCTCAAGACAAAGTTAATTTTTTACTAATTTTGTAAATTGTAATATTGATACTCAATGACTATCTGTACTGTGGAAGTTGTGCCCAAAAGCTGAGGTCCAATGACAAGTCATCAGTATTGCAGTTGATAATTTGTCCATTACTAACTAGACATGTGCAGCGGCTAAAAATTAGTTTAGATTAGTTTCGGATTTCGTTTATGGAATTCGTATGCTATATGTGTTTCATTTCGGGAATCGTATTCGTATTCGGATCTGATTCGGGATACGGATTTGGGATTCGGACAAATTTCCGAAAATTCTACTTGAGGTGAGGTAGCAGAATTGGCACATTTGTCATTTCTGGTTGCTGTGCTCTAGTCTTTACTATTAAAGGGACATTAAAATCCTTTTCGTAATTTGTTTTTATCCGTTTAAATGTTAACAGTGCACGCACAGGATTTGGACGAAATTCATTCCAAATCCAAAATTTTGGATTTTCGAAATTTCGGATTCAGATGCTTTTGGATATGTTATATTTCGGAAATTCGGATGCTCCGAATCTACGAATTTCCGAAATTTCGTCCGAATTTCGATTCAGAGCGAAACGAATCGCACATGTCTGTTACTAACTAACCATGCCTTGTTCCACACTGTCTCTCTGTAAAGGGGGGACGGGTTTGCTTCCTTAAAACTGCCCCCTGATGACTGGTGGGAAATATTCAAGAAGCAGCAGATCCACTAAATACACAAAGAAGAAGCAGCAGGGAGATCCTTGCACTGCAGGTTCAGCTTTACCTCCAGCAAGGAGAGCAAAGAGCAACACAGTAGTGACAAAACCAAAACTCACACCAATTCTTGTAAGACTAGCAGTCAGATGTAGCAGTGCTTTAGATGATCTTGCACTGTAGATAAACAGCTATCAGGTTACCTAAGCACACAAAGTGTACCATTATTTTTCAGTAGGAATTCAGGGCAAAAGATCGTTTTTTTAGGGTACTGCTCAGGAAAATTAATATTTCCTTACCGTCCATCCTGCTGGGCAGGAACAATCACCCGTCACATGATGACACACACCTCCATTCTGACAAGGACAGCGAAGCTCGCATAGTGCCCCATGACTTCCTGGTGGACACAGCTCTTCACAACTAACATATAAACAAAAAGCAAAAGCACATGTAAGCCTTTCCAAAAGACTGCATAGACTGCAATGTTCTGTCTACAACTGGAATTGTTTTGGGTCAGCAACTTGGAAAGTATAGAAGCCACAGACAGCCAGGCAGCTAGCATTTTAAGACAATTAGGTCAGAATTGTGAGGCCACATATCTCTGGCACTACTATTGTATCTCTTGGCTCAGGTTTCCATTAACAAATATAGATATAACATATAAATATAATCAATATAAAAGATCACTTTAATTGAATTTGTCTTTTAGCTACTTACAAGGCTCCCGTGTATCCAGGAGCACAGTGGCACTCGCCAGTCCTGTGGTCACATGTTGCTCCGTTCTGGCATTGGCATCTCAGTTGACAAGCTTTGCCATAGGTCCCCGGGTCACACCAGTCTTCACATCGCCATCCTCTGTACCCCTCAGAGCACACACAGGCACCGGTGATAGGGTTACAAAGTGCTTCGTTCTGACATTGGCAGCGGTTACTGCAGTGTGGACCCCAATGCTCACTGTCACAGCCTGACAAAGAAGAACACAACAATAATTTTATAAGTCAGAGTGACTGATTAATATGTTAAGTGCAAAAATGAACATACATTTAAAGTGGTTTTCCTCTGCATGAGCAGCAGCAGGACCCTAATCACGTTGCCGTTTAAGTGATTTGTGATCCACAGTGGCTTAGATGTGTTGCAGGCTCACAATACTACTGAATCTGCAAAGGGGATTTACCAACATGAAATTCTTAGGAGAATGGGAAAATTGTCATTACTGACACGCCTGGACAGTAACTGATTCACCCCCTCCTGCAGCAAAATGCTTGCTTCTCTTGCAGATTTACTAAATCTGTACAGCTATTTAGGAATAAGAATGCCAGTTTCTACCTCCAGTGATTAGAAATCACATTTTCCAGCTAAACCAAGGATGGGGGTCCCCAACATACAAACAGAGGAGGTTCAGACCATGTTTCACCTTCGTGTTCAAGTGGAAACCCTAATAGCCTCTTAAGGGCAATTCAAACGTAACCTTCTAGCTTCTAGCAGTAGAGATTAAAAAATGTTTTTGTTTTTGGAATGTTCACTTGATTTTCTTAGGGTCTATTTCTTTTAAAGTTATATGTTTGCACATATAACTTGAAGGATACTATCCTTAAAGTGACACTAAACCCAAGAGTTAAATCTTAAAAAAATGCATTCAAGTACCTTAACTATTAACAATATTGCACCTTATGTATTTGTCATTCAGCTGTAGATCCTCTAATCATCTCTGAATTGGTGCTGACACTGTCTTTCCTTCTGGCTACTTTTGTTCCGCATGGTCCCTTTATGTGTTGTAAAGTAGTCACCGCTCCAAGCTCACTCTCGTGATAGACTACAATCTCAATACAAATTGTAAACTAAACATGAGATTGTAGTCCATCACAGGAGTGAGCTTGGAGCGGTGACTACTTTACAACACATAAAGGGACCATGCGGAACAAAAGTAGCCAGAAGGAAAGACAGTGTCAGCACCAATTCAGAGATGATTTGAGGATCTACAGCTGAGTGATACACAAATAAGATACATTTTTGTTAATAGTTAGGGTACTTGAATTAATTTTTAAGATTTAAAGGAGAACTATGAGGTGAGTGATTTTCACTCAACCTCATAGTTAGAGCCGACGTGTGACATTGAAACTGTCACACGTCCGCTCTACGGATCAGGAAGTGAGCAAACGCATGTCGTCACTCGCTTACTTTCTGATCATCTCCCTGCAGAGAGCAGTGACTGTCAGTCACCGCTCATCACAGGGATTCCCCTCCCCCCCGCTCTGATCCTCCAGCACTGACTGGAGAAACGGATGGGGGAGGGGGCGGGCACAGCTGGCTCTGTCTCTAGATAGGCAGAGCCCGCTGTCAATCATCTAGCTGGATGGATCTCAACAGTATTGTCAGGGACCCATCCCGGCTGCGGTGCTCTCAGTATATAGCGGGCAATAGCCCACTATATACTGAGCTTTGGGACATAGGAGGAGGTTAGTATATGTCCTCCCATGACCCTAAAAGTTCTCTTTTAATGACTAAAGAATGGCAATGATGGCCCTGGAGAATGCACCTTTAAAAATAAGTCAGCCTTGGCAGCTCCCCTATGTCTTAACTACCAGGTTCCCTTAACAAATGCTTCTAGAAAGTAATGTACAGTTGTAAAGCTTACAAGGATAAGGTAAAAATAAAATAAAATGAATAAAGTGAAAATGTTGCTCACAGTGACAATTGGGATGCTAGCAGCTGTTTTTAAGTTCAGTTTGAAGAGTTGAAGCTAATACCTGACTGATTATCATAGAGGACACCTCCACTTTTCTTTCTTTCAGTCTTTTTAAATTGGCCTTATGCAATTTAAAAAAGAATCTAGCCTTGATTTATACTGTCACAATGATCACAGGAATTGAAATATCTTGAATTAGCCGTAAAGTGTACTGAAACAAGCCTTTCTCAAATGGCAAAATGCACATTTGAAATGATTCTTACTGCCATACAAGACCAGCATAAAACCGGACACTCACAAATAAAAAGAACAGCTCTCATAAAAATTGCACATGCTAAGTGAACAGTATACAGTGACAATAAATCACAAGCTACAATCCTCACCCAACATGGTACTGTGCTACCAGCAGCCAGTCAGCACAAATGTGTGCAATGAATGAAACATGTACAGGTGATAGAAGAACATAATATATACTTATACCAGTACAGTGTACAATCAGACAATCAAATGGGGAGCAATATAGCAAAATGCAATTATTTCACATAGCACATTGGGATTTTTCTTCATCTCATACACTCCGTCAAGTAAAATAGAATTTAAAGTCTATCTCTTGCCAAAACCTTTTCTTTATAAATCTGGATAGAGTAGGACATGAATCCCTTTGGGTAGAAAACCCTTCAAACCCTGCCCTATAGATACAAAAAAGGTGGAAATCTCTACAAAATGAGGAAAATTGCCTTGTAGACAGATGTCACTAGAACGGGGGTATCCCTCCACCCCACCCCACACACAAGTTTTAAAGTTATAATAAACTTTCAACATTTTATCAATAATGAATCCAGATCAAACAAATAAACATGACTTGGTAAAGTATTTCTTTTAAATTTTGCACAAACAGTTACAGAGATCATGGGGGTGATTTACTAACCTAAACACACGCACGCACCAGGTGCGTGTGATTTTCACACAGCAAAACGTATTTATCAACCAAAAAGTCTCTAAAAGCATATTTCCACTAATGCCATATATGGAAAAATCATGCACAAGATGCATATATAATGCTGCTTCACAGTTTAGACAAAAATGGTTAGCTCATGCATTTACATTCCTGCATTCATCAACGCAAGCAACACAATGTAGAACTAATTTACACAACATCACCTTGCAATTCATGCAAGGCTTTGCACAACACACCTGCTGGGTGTGTACACACTACAAAGGTGTTTAGATTCCACCCATAGATCATGCTGGGAGGGAACACACTACAGAGGTGTATACATGTTCGTGGTGTGTTTATAAGGTTAGTAAATCAACC